AGCTTACACAGTTAATAAATTCAGAACCTAGATCTGAACCCTAGCAGTCTAGCTTCTGAATCTGGCTTATAACTGCTAAGCTGTACTGCTTCACATGTAAAAAAGAGTTTTTCAATACAACAGAATAGACTATATCAAATACATGTGTATTAGTTTTCTATTGCTGCTGCAACAGATTAGCAGATTAATTTCAAAAAGTTTGGGACCGTTGACCAATATGGATTATATGTTCTATATATCTGCATATAATATCATTTCTGAATGTGTTTTTCTCCTCTGTGTATAGGGAACAGTGGATATAGGCATCTGTAGGTAGTCCAAATACTTAAAAAACAATACCAACAACAACAACAACAAAAAACAAGCTGGAGCCATCCTAAGAAGGGGAAGGACTAACAAGCACCAACAGTCACATACAATGGCCAGGAAAAAGTATTTCCAAGAATATGTTACAAGATGATGGATTAGCCAGATGGCTAGAAAGAGAACTGTCTGTGCAGGCTTAATATTAGGAGGTCCAGTATCTCTTGGCTTGGCCAGCCACCATGAGGTCCTCAAAAGGTGTAATGAAGCAGATGTTCAACTGAGGTAGAATGAACTGTCCAAGAATGGATAAACATGGGGACAAAGAACAAGGCCCCAGGTTGAGGAAAGGTGTGGGCTGGATGGACATTTGAACCTTAGCTGTGACAGAGAGAGCCAGCCTAGTAAATGCTTGTTCTAGACCAAAAGTTACTGGATATGGTTTGGTGAAGGGAGAAGTCACAGAAGGGGAGACACTTTAGCTTCCTTCACTCAAGCACAAACTATTAGTTATTTAATTGCTAGAACCTAGTCTGAGTCATGATGAGTTTCCTCTGAGCCCTTGTGTTAGGTGTTACGAACAGTAGAACTGTTATAAAAGGTTCCTTCAGATTGCCAGTGATTTTATTCTGGTTAATGAATTTCTAAAGAGTATGCATTTAATTATTTTATATATCTATATCTATATCTATATCTATATCTATATCTATGTATGTATGTATGTATCTACCTGTCTATCCATCTATCCATCCATCCATCCATCCATCCATCTCTGTAGCTATGGCTTGTAACGAGTTGTCAAAACACTGGCCGTCTTGTCAGAACAACTCTTTGAAATTCATTGGTGGAGTAAATATGATTTGATATCTAATTGTTAAATAGATATCACAAACTTTTCATCAGAGGATCTAAGTAATTTTTTTTCTTTTTGTAACATATTAATAATTTTATTTAATAAAAAATTACATAAAAGTTACAGTATGCCAAATACATTATAATATCAACTCTATTTTTTCTTTTTCTTTTCTTTCTCTTTCCCTTTTTCTCATATGTGTGTGTGTGTGTGTGTGTGT